TTGTTTGTGAATCAGTATTCCACTATATCAATGTTACTTAACCCTCTGTGTGATGCAGCTTGTTGGGATCACGCAAACCTGTATTTAAACAGCTTCTGTTAACTAAATTTATATAATTTTTTGTTCTAGTCTATCATAAACTTCCATTCATTAAGATATCTGACTAACTGATCCATAAAACAATCTTTACAAGAGCAATTTTTTAAAACCTATCCTTTTTCACCACTAATCTAAACAAGACTTCTTATTTTGCATATTGTAAAGAAACCAGTTATAAGATGGAGTTCAAATTCAGATATAAGCCACATAAATTCAAAATTAATTTTAAAAGACAGCAGAATATATATCTAAAAGGGAAAATTTGTCTTAAATGGAGAATTTTCAGGGAATCGTAGCCCATTTTACTATAAAACTTTTGCATGTGCAGAAAATTAATAACTTCAATAATTAATAATAATAATATAAGGTATTTCTTCCCTCCTTTCTGCATGCCTTCATGGTGTAATGGTTGCACACTCAGCGCATATTCGAGAGGTCCAGATTCGAGTTCCAGCGAAGACGTAGCTCATTTTTCATGTCTTCTGCTTCAAAAAACCTAATAGCTCTACAGGGGTGCCTGATGGTAGGTAAAGATTCTTCACCACCACCAGGATTTGGCAGTTGGGTCCCCTAATCTCAGGTCGCCCTTTAAAAGGCGAAGTATGTAATGTATTTTCTTCCTCCTTTCTGCATGCCTTTGTGGTGTAATGGTAGTACACTCGGCATTTATTCAGAGGACCAGGTTTTAGTTACAGTGAGGGCATTACTCGTATTTCTTGTTTCCTGCTTCAAAAATATGTCTTTACAATGTTCCTTGAATTAATATATGTTATATTTTTATTGAATGTGTTTATCAGGAAAAAACATAGCTTTTAATTTTGCAATCCTGAATTTTCTGGAAATCAGACTTTTTTTAATGTCCAAAGGTTGTCAGATTATAGATATTCATGGATTTAGCAGTCTCGAATCTTTGGAATTCTGCTGTATCTGAGACTGAGCACTGTTGTTTTCATTTTACCAAAAAAGAAAAAAAAAAAAAAAAAAAGAAAAAAAATTACACCAACAGCTGAACAGTAAAGAAGCTGAACACTGGCAGTTCAACCCAGATTCGAATCTAAGCGAATGAGCAGTAAAAGGGCATTTTCATAGCTTTTCCCTTGTAAAATTTGGATGCGAGCCACTTTCTTCTCCTCCAGGTGCTTCCTCGTAGGGAAACCCTCTTTTTCTTTGCCATAATCAGATAAACCAAACCGAATATGACCCTCCCTCTCTCTACAAAAAATTCACATGCCAGAATGTGGTTGATTCACAAGGCATAAGGATCTTATTATTTTTTCTTCTTTATGACAAAATAAAAAAAAAAATCTAAGCTTTTAAATAATATTTTAAAACAAATATCATTGTTTATATTGTTAATATAAAAAATAAAACATGTTATATAACACCATACAATATACACCTTGATTTTTATAAAATTTATTACCAAGTGTCCATTATAATATTCTTTTTTATCAACAAAATATTATTTTAGATTGTAATTTACTTTTTAATATTTGATATTTTTTGTTTATTCATTTTAAATTAAACTATATGGAAATAAAACTTCAAACTTCTAAAATTGTCATAAGTATAATTTAATACAGTACAAAGTCCGTAATCCGGACTCGTCAGGACATGTGGATTATAAATCATCAATTTAAATCTGGTAAAATGGCATGTAGAAATTATACAGTTAAAAATATGAAATCGTAATTTATGAAATAATGAGCAATTATGATCTAAAATGTATCAAAATTTACAAAAAAAAAGCTTAATATTTATTTGTTTACTTTATTAAACATTTCTTTCAATGTAAGTTAAGTTGCTTCGTTTTTTGCGCTAAACGCGCATACATAAAATTAAACATGCATTCGTAACATTAAACGCGCGTGAGTAAAGCATAGAAAAAAAAAAAAGTTTGTGGCTTTGAGGTCCGGATTATAGATCATTCCGAATAATAGACGTCCAGATTACAGACTTTGTACTGTATAATTGTTTGTAAATAATATATTTTTATGATTTCACTGCTGGTTTGTGAAGTTCCCATTATTTCTAGGAAGTTTGGCTTTTAAAATTTGGACTCTTTGAATTATATATATACATTGTAGATGCATGAGAATAATTTTTGCTAAATTTGTATATATTGTGCATATATATGGTGTAGTTATAGTTAAAGTTACCCTATTTAGACATATTTAGAGAACGTTCTAGTCGACCTATTTCATTGAAACTTGGTATATGCATTATATGGACTATGGAGGAAAGGTGTCCTTGCATTTATTCATGCTAGGTCTGATTTTCCACACCTCCTTTTTTTAGCTTTATTATTAAGCATTGCCTTCTTTTTCCTTTGTAATTATGCCGCCTAAAATTCAAGAGGAAAATCGCAAAATATTTAAAAACAACATATTACTAGAATTCTCAAAACAGTTATAGGAATTCCATGCATTTTTTTTTATATTTGCAATATTATTTCTTCAAAAACTCCCTGCTCTAGCATCAAGTTGCCTAGAAGAGTTGCCATAAAAAAGAAGGAAAATATATGATGATATTAACAAGTCCAGTTAATTTAATAAAATAAAAATATTTAATATTTCTGATTAGGTACCTCGTGATTTAAATGCTCAAATTAAAAATAAATATTTTATAGGAGTTGCATTTATTGCTTTCAATCACTTGATTTGCTACTTAGTAATAGAAAGATAAATTTGAAAGTTAAATGTCTTATCCTTTACTAAATGGCAATATGCTGGTGCATGAAGTTAATAAATATTCTGTTTGAGGCAGAGCAACACATTGCTTTCAAGTAGCCAAATTAGTGGATTAAAATTTAAAGGTAAATATATTGTATTTTGCCAAAGTACATTTTACTAAATTGCAACTGTTGCACATGCTGGAGATAAAAATGTTTTATTTTGAGCAGTATTGCCACTTCTTACTTTTAAAGTAAGAAGTTGAGTTGTTAAACTAGTTAAATTTGTGCAGAATATAAAATAAATTGAAAATAAATTCAGAATTCAAACTTTGAGGTGCTCATGTTTGGATGGAGGACTGTGTGTGAAAAATTTTTGTGGCTGTAGCTGCTATCATCTTTGTACAATGCATGCATGCAGTTTCTTCATTATTTATTTATTTAAATACACTGGTTATCATAAATTAAGGAAAAATCACAAAAATAGCGATGATTCAAAAATAAGCCAAACCGTGTAAAATTTGAATATGTTGCCAAGTAAGAGTAACTGTATAAAACTGCAATATGCAAATTAGTGGCGCTGCTTTCGGAATAATGACAGTGACATCAGAAATCTGAGATAGCCTATTCGTAACAATGACCTCCAGGCATCATTTGCCTGCAGAACTGCGATGGAGAGCCATTGGGAGACTAGAGGCAGGACGAAGTGAAACAGAAGTGGCCAGATGGCTAAATGTGAGTCCTTCTGTGGTTCATAGACTTTGGAGGCAATTTCAAACCACAGATTCGGCATCTAGGAGGTTCAGCCAAGGACGACCAACTGCTACGATGAGCGCCGATGACCGATATTTGATATTATGTGCACACAGGAATAGAACCGCTTAAATCTCTTCTTAGATCCTCCCTTGCTGCAGCCACCAGAAGGTTTGTGTCACTTTCAACTGTGCTTAGAAGGCTTCATGAAGGCGGTCTGTATGCGAGGCGACCAGCCATTTGTGTGCTTGTGTCATGCCATAGGAAGAACCGTTTTCAGTGGGCACGACAACATGTCCACTGGACACCTGATCAATGGAAGGTGGTTCTCTTTACCAATGAGTCCAGGTTTAGTCTAGAAAGCGATAGTAAGCATTGTTTGATACGGAGAGAACCTAGAACCCGTTATCATCCGTCAAACATCTGTGAAAGAGATGCGTACGGAAGGGGCAGTGTCTGTGTTTGGGGTGGTATCTCTTTGGGTGGACTCGCAGACCTCCATGTCTTTCCAAGGGGAACAGTGAATGACATCCTTGATCCTTACAGAGATGACATCCTTAATGCTTATGTGCGCCCATATGCCTGGGCAATAGGCGATGCTTTCTTGTTACAGGACGACAATGCAAGACCACACAGGGCTTGCATCGTAGATTATTATCTTCAACAGGAAACAATTATGCGCATGGAGTGGCCAGGAACGCTGCGGCGTGCAATGAACTGGAAGTTGATCTGTCAGCACTATCGTTATCTTCAGGGCAGATATTTTTATTTTAGTCTGCTTATAATTCCTTACTAAATGTAGTATTTTATCTCAATGTACTCCGTCTTTGATATGATTTCAATCAAATTCCACGTCATTATAAATATCACGAATACAAATCAAATAGTTTTCTGGTTGCAATTTTCTAATTTCGGCTATGCGTAATGTATGCTTTACGCATGCGCGCGTTTGAAAGAAATGTTTAATAAAGTAAACAAATAAATATTAAGCTTCTTTTTTTGTAAATTTTGATACCCTTTAGATCATAATTGCTCATTATTTTATAAATTACGGTTTCATATTTTTAATTTTATAATTTCTGCATGCCATCTTACCAGATTTAAACTGATGATCTATAATCCGGAAACATCGATAATCCGAAATCGCTGAAGTCCCGACGAGTCCGGATTAAAGACTTTTGACTGTATAACTTTAAAAAAATCATATATGTAAGTGAAGTTAAACTCTAAATCAAGGTTACTGTGTGACAAGGTATGCTCTTGTATGATGTCACTAATTTAGTCAAAAGCAATATCTTCTCTCTCTCTTTTTTTCCCTTTCTGTGGATAAGCGATGTCAGCATTGAGAAGAGCCTTATATTGTTTGCCTACTAACCTTGCTCTAAATTTCATACTCTTTTACTCACTTAAAAAAAGATTGATCTTTTATAATGCTGCAGTATCAAGTTTGTTCCTAATTATGATACTTCTTTTGCAGCCAAAAAAATCACATTTGCAAATGCAGGTGGATGGCTCACGGATGAGAGCTTATTCAGTTGGAAGCCAAGCACAGAAAAAAGTGAGCAATCCGTTGGAACGGGAACTTGGTAATCTAATGAGGATTGATCCTAGAACTGGTGCCAAGTCATCTAGTGCACCTCTTCTCAACAACAGGCCTCCTAGGATACGTTCTTCTACTAGTCGAGGGGATGTTGGTGAAGATTTAATGGAAATAGATTATAATAATGCAAAATATTCGTCAAAAGGTTTTGATTTGTGTGATTCAAATTTTACTATTGAGCCTGTTGGTCGTAGTCGTTCTGGTAGCTATTCATCATCTTCGAACAGTGCAATGAAGCTTTTGCATGATCGAGATAAAGCTAAATCTCATTCTACGGGGCACAGCTGTAATCCAATAAAAGATGATCTAGAAACAAGTGACTATTTACGAATGTCGCCATTAAGTGATTCTACAAAATCCACCACTTCTAATAATACATCACTTACAGCTTCAAAGAGTGATACTCCTACTATAAAAAAGGCTGAACATTTACATCCACCTGGTGATTATGTAAGTTTAGATCCAACGTGCACTTATCAAACAATGGCAAATACTTCTTTACCTTACACTTTTGTTAAAACATCTTCTGGCATTAGTGTTGAAAGTGCTTCATACAATAAAAAGAATTCAGCCCCTGTTGTTTCTAATACATCTGTTTCAGAAGAAAAAAGCAAAGACCTAAATGACTCTACAAGTCTCACCAGTACAGCTGTTACTAATAACAATGTGCCTGTAAATTTTCATTCAAGCCTAGCTAAAGAAACTCCTTCTGATTACATGTGTATGGACTACAGGAAAAATTCAGAAAAAAAGGCTACTGTTTGTGATGGTAGAGTAATCACTAATGACCATTCCTCTATAGATGTATCTAACACGGAGTCGAAGTGTGCTGAAAAGATAGATTCTTCTCAGCACTATGATAGATGCAGAAAAAATCAGTCTTCTTCCTTACAACAAGTTAAGGGATCTTCAAAACCAACATCTCCTGCATCAAAATCTCCACCTTATCAAGCAGCAGGCACTGTCAACTTTTTGCCTAAAACACCACCTCCTTCTCCGAGTTATGGTGCCATGTCTTTCTCCGTTTCTGGTGTTCCATTAATGGAAAATGTTGTTCGCCGCCTCTCCCAACCAACAAATGCAGCTGCCACTCAGTCTGCACCAAATTCACGTCCAAACTCTGTGTGTGGAGAGATCCGTTTGAACTATGCGTCTTTAGATTTACCACCAGCTTCTGAAGAAGAAAATAAAAATACAGCTGGAAGGCTTAAAAGTTCTTTGGAAGCGGAAGCCAAAGAAACCCCTCTGACTTATGCACAGATAGATTTTTCCCCGGTAAGACAAAAAGCTTTCCAAGAAGCAGAAAGTTTAAGTCATTTGTAAAATGTTTTACTTCATTGTTTATGTACGGTGCCTGATTATGAGTGTACTAAATTTAAAATGTTTGATTGAAGCTTTAGGTTTAAAATGCCTTAGTGCAAACCTTTAAAAAGCAAATCAAAGCTTATATTACAAACTTTTATTATTGTTAGTATATTAGAAATAGAGTTATGTTTTTAATTATTTTTGTTAATGTTTGTTTATGCATGTTTTTATACATAAGAGTTTTATTTTGCACAAGTTGATCATTTATTTCAGGCATACTGATTACATGTGCTATTTTTAATGTGTTGCTAAGCATCTTTTATTGCAGAAATTAAGTTAAATTTGTTTCATTCAATTATTGATCAACATTGTATTGTAATTTATAGTCAAAAATAATTCTACAATTATAAGTATTTTTGCAAGAGGTTAATATAATTAATATGCTGCATAGTTTTTCATTAACCATTTTACATTGTCCATTAAGAAATTTATCTATTATAGAAATTTTTATTATCTTGCATATATCAGTGCATCAATGGCAGTCTTGTATCTGTATAAATTGTGTAAATGCATAATGGTAGAAACGACAGCATGTAATTTGAACTGCTAGAAAAGACTTTTAAATGTCTGCTTACTTATCAAGGTCATCCTTGTCTGGTTATTAAAAATCAGTTATTGAAATTCTTAAAAAATTCTTTAATTTTAACCTGGAAGTACGTGATTGTTCTGTGATGTACTACGAAGTGGAAGCTAATCTAAGACCTTAAACTTGTAAGTAAAGAAAAATAAAGAGAAAGTATTTAAATTTATTTAAAGCAAATATTTGTAAAATAATCAAATCCAGTATTTTTCCAAAGTGGTTTGAATAGATTTTATTAATTTATTCTGTAATTTTAGTTATACTTTTCTAAACTCCCTTTGGATATGAACTTAGTTAGCTTCTAGTGTTAATGTATAATTCTGTAATCTGTGGAGATTATTTTAACTGTTGTACAAAAAAAAAAAAAAAAAAAAAAGGTGAATTATCTTTGGAAGTAAGAGAGATGAAGCGAAGAATGTATGTTATATTATTTAAAGAATTATATTTGAGAAATTTATCTATATGTATTTTTAGGAATTTTTTTTCAAAATTACTGTTTATAAAATTAGTTTATTTTTGCTTACTGTAGAACTATTACTAGCATTGTAAATTTCAATTACAATATATATTTGTTTTCAAACATTTTTCTTTACTGTAAAATTATTTTTAGCATTATAAATTTTGATTCTGTAGTATATTTATTTTCAAATTACTGTTCGCAAAATTAGTTGTTACTTTTTCTTACTATAGTGCTGTTTCTAGCATTATGATCTTTGATTACATAAAAAGTATACAGCAGTTGTTCTGTGTCATAAAACTGTCCAGTAATATTCTTATTTAATTTATCGAAGAAATTATTTTTATATAATATCCTTTTGCTGTCTGAAATTAGACATAATTTGATTTTTGTACATATTCTATAGGAAAAAATTTTATTATATGTTTAAAGCAAGCCACAAACTAATGCCAGAAATTTTAAAATTTAACATTTTAATGGCTAGAACCGAAAGTTATTTTTAATGTTAGTATGTTTTGGAGTTATTAAAATAGAATTATTTATCTAGGAAAATTTATAAAGTATTTTGTTTAGTATGTTTACACTAAATTAAGCTTTGCTACCTATTCTATTCAGTAGAAAAGTTGCTTGGAAGTTTTCCTTGCATTGCACATTATACAAAACAGAATTATGTGTCATAATCAGTTTTATATGTGAATGAATCATAAATTCATATTAATTGAACTTTGTTTTTCTTTACATTAATTCTGTTAAGTAAATTTATTTGTATTAGTAGTAACTATATCAGTTGTATCAACTCCAGCCTAAAATTAGTAACACTATAACCTTGAGTTTTGCATAGACTTTTGTACAAGACTACAATTGATTGAGATCTTGTATATAAATCTATGCCAAATTTCAAGGTTATTGTGTTACTAATCTTTTGTTTCACTTGGCATGTTTCTTTTCCATTTCCAGCTCTGTTGGATGATTTTATTGAATTTTTACATTTTCATCAGATTAAGTTTGTGCAACAGGCAATGCAGTGTTTTATTTAAGAAAATTTTATTAACTTGCAGATTTAACAACATTTCCATTGTTTGAATAAAATGACAAGAGAAATTGATTTGGGGGTTTTAAATGGAAGGGGGTGCACTAATTTCAAATGTGTCCAGAATAAAAAATAAAGCTACACTCCCCCCCCCCTTCAGTTTGTATTTTTCATTTCATTTTTGTTGTAAACAAAAAAAAGTCCTGATGCCTGGTGGTTTAAAAATAACCATAACCACATAAATCACTTGACCTTTCGGTCTGCCTGTTGACCACGCTTTTTATAAATATTAATAAAAGATGGCTTTTACTATTTTAATTAAGTATTAAAATCCAAATGAAGCCTTATTAGATATTTTATATTTGTACATAAAAGTATGTAATTAAACGTTTCAGTGCATGCTGCATAAAATATAAATATCTAGGTGTAGAATTTTATTTATTTCCTTATATTTATTATCAAGTCATGCAGTTAAACTTAGGTAACTCTTAACCTTAACATATATAGCAGTTGCATTGTATGTTTCCTAAACTTCATTTAGTACTTTTATCTAATTAATGTGATAAAACTTCATAAATTAAAAGTAATTATTTTTATAAATATATTTGTATATAAAAAGGCATAATCTTTTTAAAATTGTATAATAAGAGAACTATAAAATTACGTATTATATATTCATTAGCCGGTGAACTTTCGAATTTCGGCAAGTTAAATCATAAATTATTTGTGTGCTACATGTGTTGTTTCACTGTTTTGTAAAATTAATACTGAATTTATCATATGTGGGATCATGTTTATATATATGAGTCTTTGGTAATATTGATTGATGGCTTAAAACTATTCTTTCAAACATCCATTAACATTTTTATTTTTCCAAATGTTTGATGCTTTAAGAAAACTATTTAAGATGTAATAAATACATGAGTTAGTATATTAAGGAAGGTTAGCTATTTTAAACTACTCCAACGGTATAGATTCTGTTAATAATATATAAATATTTTTATAGCTGTGTCTAAAATTAAAATGTGAAACATTCTTGTCTGTATTGATTTAGAACAGGGTTTCTTACTCTCTTTTAAAATGAAACCCCTTTTTATCACTGTTATATGACAACCTATTTTTTGCAACCACAGATATTAAATATAAAATAAAGATATAAAAATAAATATCTTCTCAGAAATAATTTACTTCTTTGGTAAACAATATGCATGCAAAAAGAAGTAGTTTTAGAATTTATTTTAAGCAAGCAAAAATTAAAGAAAATTGTAATGAGATAGATGTGCTCATTTTGTGCTGCAAAAATGTTTGTGCGATATTTGACACTGATGGACATAAAGCATCTTCAACATGTTTCAATAGTGAGAAATCGAGTTCTAACTCCAATTCAGAATTCATCAAGGGTTTTTGTGAAAACTCAAGTTTTAAGTTTGAATCACTAGAAAGTTTTACAAATTCCTTTGCACCTTTAACAGATAATTAATCACATTAATATAAATTAATGTAATGTTTTTAAAGTCTAATCTCATTCATGTCGATGCAATTTCTTTAAAAGTTTTATAAAAGCATTTTCCTAAAATTCAAGTATCGAGTTGTATTTTCGTGACACCAAAATTTTGATTTGCGATCCCATTCAAGCTCTACCCGCAGTTTAAGAAACTCTGATTTAGAATAATTGTTGTACTTTAATTTGCTAACTACATATTCAAGTCGATATTTGAAAGCATTTAGTATAAATTCAAATAATTTTTTAAAAAATAATGTTGTGCTTGTTACGTTGTGCATATGGGTATAGCATCTCAGAATATAGATTAATGTTTCGACTTGAATTCAGATTTTTCAGGCATTTGAGCATTAATCTGAAATATATATATATATGTTGGTATCAATGTATTTCTGAACTGTGTTTAGAAAAATGGAAGCTTGATGACATTTGAGTAACCTCCATTCCCTTCAGGATTGTCACCTTGGAAATTGTTGTAATAATTACAGAAATTTTATCAATATTTGAATATCTTCTAAACATTCTTGCATTATGTTGTTTTATACATCTCTTGCCTTTTTCTGAATTGTTTCAACTGTGCCAAATTCCGTTTCTTACCTTCATTCTGTGGAAGATGAAAAAGTCACAGATTGCCATATGAGAAGAATGGAAAGATGTATAAACAACAACTATGTAGCATTATCTAAAAATTTTATGCTTTAACAGATGTTATCACTATTAGTTCCTAATAATCTGCTGCTCTAAGGCTAACCAGAATGTGGACTATTGCATAATTATTCACAACTGTGGATTCGCATGGTCACACAGAGGCTTCCATGTATCAGTGACAGTGCTGTGCTTTGATTATTTGCCATTGTAGAATAAATTCTTGAAAAATTATTTTATGCTTAAATGGAAAAAATGATTTTGCATTTCTTCTTCCCCCCCCCTTTTTTTTTTTTTCTTTTTTTTTTTCTTAAAGTGAGGACTGCTGTTTGTTTTCTGAATTGAAACCCTGTAATGTCATATTTAAAAAAGTTGCTGTCAGTTGTAATCCTGGTAATTTTGAAAGATTGCATTCGTTGCCACTTATGCTGAAAGTTGATGAAAAAAGATTTTTTAAAGATGTTTCTGCAACAGCAGAATCATTGATGCTATTGCATCAGTTCTCAAGAGAACTAATAGGGTATGCTGACTACTGGATTTTCAGCTGTGTCATTTTTTGTAGGCTTGGTTCATAAATCTTTTAATGCCTCCATATTTTATCTGCTCATTTGACTTGCCTTGAAAGTGCCTTAAGTGTATTATGATGCAGAGATTTCTTCAATTTTTGTTTGAAGATCTTGGGTACGAAGCTGTGTGATATGTATCTGAATTTACATTATGAAGTCATATTGCAGTTGAAAGTATCAGATTAGATTCTTGAAAAAAAAAAAAAATTCCCTCCAATCTTGTGGCTTTTGCTTAAACAGAAATTATGTATTTTTAGAATACATGTATCTTGAATATATCATTTCTTTTAAGAAAAAAACCTATATGAGTAATTAAAACTTAATTAGTAAATTTTTGTCCTGTTACAAACTTGTTTTAATATTTGTTGCATTTTGCAGTTATGAAAATGGAATGAGTATATAATTCTGAGATTTTTTTAAACTAATTTCATTATTATGTCAGATTTTAGAAGCACCTAATATTATGCAGAATATAAATAACTTCAACTACTTGATTATCGTATTACAGTTTTTGAAAGTTCTGAGTATTATTCAAAATATAAATGCAGTATCTTTCCAATCTTAATTAAGTTGCTAATTTTCACATTTCATGTCTTTTAATTTTGAATGATAATGATAAAATATAAATACAGTCAAAAGTTGTTAATTCGGACACCCGTAATCCGGAATGATCTATAATCCGGACCTCAAAGCTAAAACCTTTCTGCGCATGCACTGCATTGGCACATGCGCACAGGCGTTTTATGCGTGCGCGTAATACCTGGACTACTGCGCATATGCGTGTGCGCAAGTGCAGAATACGTTTTCGTCTGCACGTTTAATGTATAATGGACGGTGTAAGCTAAAATTATCTAATTATCTATTTCAGTTAATGTTAATGATTGCGTTGTTCCTTAATCTTCGAATTGGATCCCGCTTATTATTTTTTGCAGACTGTAAGAGCAATTTTATAAAAGTAAACTTGAACTTTCGATTATGTCAAATAGAATTTCCGATGCTGGAACTTCCAGGACTTGAACAGCGGAACTTTGTAACTGAAGAAGAAATTATGTCTGTTTATAGAATTAAAGAGAAAGTATTGTCACATAAAACGAAGCAACTTAAACAACTTACATTGAAAGAAATGTTTAATAAAGTAAACAAATAAATATTAAGCTTTTTTTTGTAAATTTTGATACCCTTTAAATCATAATTGTTCTTTATTTCATAAATTACGGTTTCTTATTTTTTTATTTTAGAATTTCTGCATGCCATCTTACGAGATTTAAACTGATGATCTATGATCCGGAAAAAATCGATAATCCGGAATCGCCGAAGTCCCGACAAGTCCGATTAACGACTTTTGACTGTAATACAAAATTTTAAATTTAATGACAAAAATAAATTTTAGTTCTCATTGTATGTACACATAGCTAAAAAAAATGAGACAGTTCTATATCTCCCGTTCTACTGCCCGATTCACGAAATTCAAATTGCGTTCTTTATGTCTCGAAAGAGTGACTTACTATATATATATTAGATTTATATATAACACTATTCTAGGTATTTTGACACAAAATCAGACTTTTTCTGAAATAACATGCCTTTTTTTTTTTTTTACATATTTCTATTCTACGACTCAAATTATGTTTTTTTCAGCTGCGCCAAGAATAGTTCACTTGGCAAACTTCTAATATATGACAACCTATTTTCCTTTCCCTTTCTGCCTCATGTGAGAGGGGAAAAAAAGACACGATCATACTTTTTTCAGATAATGGTCTTTATATTATATTTTTAATTATAATTGTTATTATTTAAAGTATTTTTTCTTTTTGGAATTTTATTTTAATTGTTTAAGTTGCATGGTTTCTTTCCAATAACTGTTTTAAAAATTTCTATTTACATATTCGAACTGCGTAGTTTAAATCGAAGGTGCATCATTTATTTATTTTTTTTAAATAGTTTTTTTATACTATATTTTTAATAATAGTTAGTATTTTAGGTAATTTTTAGACTTTTATTTTAATTGTTAGTGTTGCATTGTCTCTTCAGATAATTATTTTAAAATTCTCTATTTATTCATTCGAACGAACTGAGCATTTTAAATATATTTATTAATATAAATTTTCCAGAATTTGATTTTATTTATTTGAATTGCATTTCTTTCAGAAGAATACTTTGTAACCCAGACTACGATGCATTTGAAAATTGCATATATTAAAAGAGAAAATACAGTAAAGCACAGTTAACACGCCTTTCAATGTTCCGTTCAGAAAAGATATATATAAATAAGAAAGATGTGTAACCGACATTTTAACTTAAAATGACTTGCATACACTGCTTTAAAAAGTCTTATCATTGTGCCCATTGCTTTACACAATTTTATCCTACATTTGGTTTCTTAAAATGTTATTCATATTTTAGTCAAATATTTTATTTTTGAAATCGCAAGAATCAAATATCATAAGATTTAAAAGTTTTAAATTTTAAAAAAATTCAAATACTAAATTTTACACAAAAATTTATTTTTTCTTCTATTTTTCTTCAGGCATTCTGCTTCATTCGTGCTCTTTTTCTTTAGGCATTCTGCAAGTATATTAAAAAGCATCCAACTTTTTTAAACATCTTGGTATTTCTGACAATCATTTTAAATAAAGTTATCGACTTCCATTTCATAAAGGCCCACAAACGGCCGAGCGGTAAAGTCTCTGAACACTGGTAGTTCACTCTGGGGTTCGAATCCCGGTAAACGGGCTGGTTGCATGCGCGTTTTTGTGGATTTTCTCATGTGTAATGTGTATGCCAACTGGTTTCCCTTAGAAAGTTCTTTACGATGGCATCCTTCCTTTTAGGCAGATAGCCCTGCATTGCCGTAACTTTATAATCCAATTCAATCCATTTCATCAGTATTTGGTCAGAGCCTTTATCAGTCTTTAGAGGCTAAGCATTTTGAAGGTAGGAGATGAAAGGAAAGATGGTTTCATCAAGAGGTTTTGGTTTATTTAATTATGACAAAGCACACTAGGGCTATCTGCCTGAGGGATGCCTTCATGGATGACTTTTTAAGAGAAACTGGCTCGTATACACATTACACATGGGGAAAAACCACAAAAACGCCCATGCAGTTAGCCCGTTCACGGGTTTCGAACCTCGGACCGAACTACCAGTGTTCAGCTAATTAAATGCTCGACTGCTGTTTCATCAGGAGGGGGAAAAACCCTCTTTAGGTGACATCCACATACATCACTGGATAACACCATGTGTAAGATATTCGCTTTTATAGAAAAAATAAAGAATCGAAGCAAATATACTTAGGATAATGGACCAAAACGTAAAAAATTTCCCCTCCCTCCGAAAATTAAATATTGAAACTTCGACCTTAAATTTAATGGATTACGAAATATTCAATTTGACTTATCTTCTAAGTCCTAGTTCCGACAACAATTCTGTCAAAAATTCCGAATTGCTGAAGCTG